CACTCTTTCTGGGAAATCTACCTAAGGACAGACATGTGCTAACTCATGCCAAATGTAGCCATCCCATTAGGGGGTTCTGTCATCTACTTCATGCTGGATGAGACACATCCAAAGCAAGCACCCAAACCGCCATTTGCTGACTCAAGCCATGCTGATTGGAAAGAAGGCTTTGAGGGAGAAGAAAAAATTAAAATAAGATTGGGACACCTTTTTCTCCCCTCCCTCTCCTAGAGAGGAATGGCTCAAATCCTGTCTCCTTTGCTTTCTGATGGTTCTTTACAAATCTGATAAAACAGTGAAGCAAAGAATACTTTCTATGCATTTTAACTTTTTGGGAAACTTCATCCATATTAGATATGCATTCTGGACACAACAACTCATTTTATCTGCAGCTGAAAGTAAAGAAAAAAAGATTCAAAGACTCCAGTTAGCACACATTATGTCTATCTGCCTTCCGTGGTTCTTAAACAGGTTTGGTGTCAGTAACAGTCCTTTAAAGCTAAACAGCCAAGAAAGTTTTCATAAGTATCTGATATGACTCTCTCAGAATAAAGTTTACATTACTTCATATCCCCAACCCTCCAAGCAGCCAGCAAACAATTCCCACAGCTCACTCAATACCGTGACACCTAACTCTCAAAGCTATTTAAGGAATCAGGCTCCCACTTACAATTCAGAGCAGGTAGATAATTTTTTATAAATGAATTAGAGGCTTAGACACTTATACACAAATTAAGTGTGTGAGAGCCGAAGGATCATGAGCTTTCCACTAACTCACTGTCAGAAGGAAGAAGTAGGACTCTGAATCAAATGTATTTGGACACACAACCCTCCTGGCTTCCCCCCCTGAAACTGATCCCAAGTACTTCTGAAAATTCATCCACCTATCCAACAGCCATCGGGGCAGGTATGCTCCCCGGGACAGCAAAGATCATAGAACACAAAATAAATTACATACATGACACAGGAAAGGCAAACTTAGATGAAAAGCCGAAATACTTTCAAAGCAAATTCCAGAGGAGCAGTCTCTGAAGTTTAGCAAGAGTGGAAATGAAAGGCAGCATTAGATGACAAGGAAGGTGACAGAGAGTAACTACCATGAAATGAGTAAGAGTTCCACAGACTGAAAGGCAGAGAAAAACCCTTTTCTTTATAAGAAAAATAAGGAAGTACTCGTAACTTCCCTTCATTTGAAACTATAATCTCTAACAAAATTGTAACATTTTTCTACAATACCAGTTCTGTAAAAAACAAAACTCTAAACTGTAAGCTGAGAAGAACTGTAACCACTTGTATTTAAAGTGAAGTATGTGCACAACACTTCTGATGAATTAGAGAAGAAAATATATTCAGCCAACAGACCATTTATAAAAGTAAATATGAAGCTATTTTTTTTGGTCCTAGAATTATTGAAACTTAACAGCACGGCACAGAAAGTAAGTGGAGAAGAAGTCTTATTTAAAAAAATAGTGGCATATTTACTTAATATTCTTCATACCTGCTGAAAGACTGATCTAGGGCAAACATACTCATTTAATTTCCCATAAAGATATGGCATGTGTCCATCAAAATTCTACTACACTGTAAAAGCCAAAAGGCAATATACTCTTAAAAATACTGCACAATGAGCACCACATTTTGGCAACGACTTCGGTATGTTTCATTACAGAGGACAGATATTTAATCCATTACTCTTGTGGAAGGATTCTTCTCAATTCATGAAATATTCAATTTATCTTTTTTCTATTACTCCTAGCCTGCCTCTCCATCTGGTTTATATCTGACAATGTGTATTTTAGGTTTTACTACTGTATTATTATAAATATATTGCATATAAAGTCAAAATTAAGAGCAATTGTGTTTTTGTGGAGTATATTTTGTGTACATCTGGAAACAAATAACAGAGAAGGGTTTATGGTTTTGGTTCACATAGATTCCGATAAACTAAAAAGACTACTGTCAAACATTTAAACTTGCATAAATTCAGTACATATAAGACATAAATCCCAGAAATTTTTTTAAGTTACAGGTAGTGCTGACCAATTCTGAATGGTCAACCTGAGGCAACATAAAATAACATCTCCTGGTTCAAAGTTCTTGGTAGT